CTCATCCCATCCTTTCACTTGGATCATCGTTGTATGCTCTGGAAATTATCACCATCTCAGCAGGGATCTTCAGGATGGTCAACATGTAAGGTTTGCAATCTTAACTTGATAGACTTGATAGATATATCCATATATATATAAATGTAATTATACATATACACCCTGGTTCAGATGGAGCTGGTTGGTATCCAGATTACCCTAACATTATGTTGGGGAGCCAGTTGGAGCTAGTAGGACAAGTGTCACAGCCATCTTATGAATCATGACATTTACCCCATACCTATGGCGCCATCGCTGATCAGGGTTATGGACCTCACAGACTACATCGTGGAGAGGGCCCGGAAGTGAATCGATTGGTCAATATAGAGGCATTCCTGCATTTTTTAATCCTAATGATTATTTGGCACCAAAGAAATATATTGTGGTAAACCCGAGAATAAACCACCAATTTTGGATAGTTTGTATCACCTCTTTATGGCAAAATCCGGGATGCGTTGTTCTTTCAACTTGGGTTTATCACATGCCTCCAGTTTGGGACATCTTTGCCTGCGATATCTTGGGATGAAGTTAGGATAGCAAGAGGATATGACAACATGAGGAGCTGGGAGATTAGGTAAATCTATACTGTACTGTAATCTTTACTATAATACTTGTATATATATATATGCGCACACACACATATTTACACATATATATATAAAATTCATTTTTAACATAACACACCATAGATATTGATCTACTTTTTTCGAACTGTCAACCCCAAACATGCAGATGTTCCAATGTATACGGCTGCCATCTTCAGCGATAGCATCATCCCACTAGAAGTGTATCCTCGCCCGTTGGTCTTCCGAGAAAAAGATGCAGAGGTTTGAGCCGCTCGGGCCCTATGGGTGATTTATGGTGATTTCAGGGGTTCCATATAATGGGGCGCCCCAATAGCTGAATGTTTTTTTTTCGTGGAAAATCCCGCAAACAAATGGAGGATGCTAAATGGGGGTACTTCCATTTGAGGAAACGCCCATTTTGACTGACCAATGCAACGAAAGCCAAAAATAGAGCTTCCAATCCTCTAACTCATTTCCCAAGAATTCACCATTAGGGGAAATTGTTGGGGTATTGGAAACCATGCCCAAGAAATGTGGAGTTACCTTACGCTATCCCAAATGATATGGTAATTTGAGCGGAGTGGCGAAGCATTGAAGCATGTTGCTACACATGAAACAGTAAATACAATCCAACCCCAGCCAAAAACAGACATCATACTGATTCGGGGGGAATTGTGGGGGTGACGTGGAAGTTTTCACTACGCTGAGTTCCCACCTACATGCTGTAAGGTTCTTCACTGGTTGCCTAACTGAACTTATCGACCTCATGTCTCCTTTGTCCGTTGAACGTGTTGGATAATCCAGCTCAATGAAACCCGTGTTCTTTACGTAGTCACCGATGAGTGCCGTGGTTCTTGTTGACGGTTTCCGGTTTCCGTTTGTTCACGAATGTATAGGTTGCATCACCATGTGACGTAGCCGTTTCTGGCTGAACACTCCCAAGGGCAGGGCGGGCAGTGTCACCTACGCCATAGGCAGCGAACCACCACTTGCTGGGGTGCGATAGACGTCACTATAGGGTTTGATAGGGCAAGAATGTGTTGTATGTTGGCTGGCCCTATCGGCCCTGTCTTGTCCAAATTCAATCTGTTTTACCCACGGTAGCAGACATGGGGTGAGACCCACGCAGGATCCAAGCTGACTTGATATAAAGGCCAAAGGCAAGATTTGCACAGGTATATATGATGTATATATATATATATACGTATATATATATATGTTACAACAAGCATATGAAGTAAGTACCATGCATGTTGCTGCCAATTTTGGTACCATGAGATGCTGGTAAGGGTGGCCTTTAGGTGTGTTTTTGTTAGCTCATTGCTTCTACAGCTCTAGCATCAGAACTAATCGTCATCAAAGGTTGGCAGCTGGGAAAAAAGCAGACATAGAAAAAACTTTTAGCGGACACCCTTTTGGTGAAGTAACAGTTTGTTATGGAAAATCCATGAAAATCCATCACTTTCACTCACAGGTAAATTGCAAGGGCCCGCGTGGCTTCCCATCGCACACCGACCTCTTTGGCTCGGAGTTTCGGCCACGTCGGCCACGGGGCCGCGGAACGACCGGGCCGGGCCAAGCGGAGGCAGGTGAACGCGACGGTGCCACCTTGCCAGCTTTTCGGGCCGGGGGTTCGGCTCGGAGATGTTTTACATTGCATTTCTTGATCAAGAAACTGAGTTTCTAGATTTAGTATGATTTAGTTGTGTAAATGGGGATGTTGGAATGATGCTGTTGGCAGGTTCTATTGCATATTGATGGTAGGCAAATACTGTAGCAGCTATGGCAGGAATTGCATGAAACAAAGACTTCAGGGTTTGCTTGGAAGTCAGTCAGCCACCCTTCGCCATTTGATCAATCATCCTACGCCTTTTGCCATTATCATGTACCATTGCCACTTGCGTGTCACATGTTTGGTCTTCATTTGGCCAATCGCCAGGATCCCCTTCGCATACAGTGTGGGCGTGTCATTAAGCCCCATCACATATAGGATGAGTAGAACTGGGCGGAGTGAATAGTATTACAATATATTCCAATTGCGTATATATATATTTATATCTATATATATATATATATATATGTACATGTTCAATTCAAATTGGAAGCAAAGAAAAGTGAACAGGATCCTTTCCAGGCGGGTTGAGAGGAGAGGGCATCTAGTCACAGATTGCTTCCCATACCCCCATACCGACCCCCTTTCACGATCAATTGCCTTCCCAAAAGATATCATGTTAATTCATGTGATGTTTTTTCTGGAGCGCTTCATGTTGGGTTTCCAGCTGGCACCAACCAGTTTCTATCCAAGTCTGCTACTGTATCATTAATTAGGATGCCGAATCAGCCCGTTAAGGTTCCCCCGACCAAGGCCCTCATGGATGCGGTGATTCGACATGCGCATCGCAGCGTGACCGCGGAGAAAGACACCGCTTCAGGACGGCCGAAGTTCCTCGAAGTCCCCGAAGACGCATTGGGGTAAGTCAAGGCTTTAATCAAACAGTGTAATGATATGGCAAATATGTACTATAATGTGCTATAATATAATATATTATGATAGTTGTTTTCATCATCGATTCCTCATAGATATATTGGTTTCCAAGGTTTTTTCTGCGATTTGGTTATTGTACGGGAAAGGGCACGGGCTTAGTAGAATTTCAAATATACATTGTTCAATACATACGCATCACGATTTGATTGATTATACAAGTTTCATTTTATTCCCTCTCTAACTAAAAGTAAATATCACATTTTGATACCACTAGTACACTGCGACCATGAACCGGACCTCCGAAAACAGCACCTACATCAAAAATCATCCATAAGAGTAACAGCAACTACATCAAAAATCATCCATCAGAGTAATTAACAGCAAAAAACATCATACATCAATAAAAAAAACATGAATTTCTGTCATTTAAATCACCAAACATCACTAAAAATCATAAATGACCAACGGATTTCTGTCGCTGTGCCCAACTTGTTGTCCAAAAAAGGCCCTTTTCGTCGCACACGTCGAGATGAGCGCCGCGGGGACGATGCGATGAGTTTCTGGGCGATGTTTTTCCGTTATTGGACTGGCAAATGGTGATGTTATAAGGTGCTGCTCCATATGTATATAAAATTTTTATAATTTATTCTTATATGTATATATATATATATATATGTGTGTGTGTTGGTTCTATATAGGTTGAGCAGGACTTTTATATAGGCCACATTTTTTGATGGAGGATAACACATGATAAAACGTGAATTATACATTCGGGATTTAATGGTGATTTAGTGGCAATATTCTATGGGATCCATGATAGAAAATCAACACAATAATGGCTGGTTAAGATGGAGTTTCATAATGTATCATGATAATTCCAAATGTATCGGTAGTGCGACCCTTGTAATCATTAACGGACGTTTTTTTGAATCTGCTTATGTTTGCCGATCTTAAGATTGAATGTTGGGGTTTGCTATGAAGACGTGGGGGCTTCACAACCTAAAAATGCGAAGATGGTTCATTCTACAAGCATTTTTTATATTCCGTCCGGTGGGAACAGGATGGATCTACAATTGACACCAGATAAGAGAAGCTGCTTGTAACCAAATTGCATATAATGCATTGTAAACTGCGCTGGAAATTGGCTCATTGCACCTACTGTTTCAAGCTTCAACTCATATTTAATCAGAACTGCAATTTGAATATGGTAGTGTCTCCTTGCTTGGATAGACTAACGGAAGGTTAATCATAAACCCATCCGAATATAGTAAAGTCTAAGTTGGGTAAGTTGATAAACGAGTTCTTGGTTGCGGGACATGTTCGTTGTTTAAGCCATAGATGGAAATCAGCAGGGTATCTAAGATTGCCCAAGATCAGCCGTGTAATGTGGGAAACCAGTTAATAAACCAGACCGAGTTCAACAACTTTGTCTTTCAAGCCTTACAAAGTGCGGTGTTTTTTTGTTTTTTTTTTGGGTGGGTTGTGGGCGGTGAGGGGTTTTTAGGAGATGTGCAGATTCACCTCATTCCACCAGGGAGCCCTCGTGGCAAGAATCCAACTTGCCTCAAACCTCGCATTCACAAAACTTCACAACAACACTTCCAGTATTTTCTTTAGAGACAATAGTCTCAGCCCCCTACTGTTAAGGACACCCCATTGTATGGTCCCAAGTAAGCCTACAAATCCCCAGCATCCACCGTGGCTTCTAGGTGTTTATAAGATTGGGAAGAGATAGCCATTGATAATATTTTGGTAGGGCCTTTGCCCCTTGGCAATTTAACATAGCTATGGAAAATCACGTTTTTAATAAGTAAATCAACTACTATAAAGGCAATTTTCAATAGCTATGTCAAGTTACCAGAGGGCGAACATAACCTACCAACTCTTAACACAGCCGAGGTCACCCCTTGATGTCCAGTGCCAGCTGCATGTTGTCCATGAGGCGCTCGTCCATGCCGCTCGTGTCATCAAACATTTCCGGACACGGACCATAAATTTGAATTTACTTGAGAAAATCATCCATATATGGTGGGTTTTTCGGCAAGCAGTGCTTGGTTACCAGAGAGTATTTTGGTATATTTAGGTATTCATTGATGAATGATGTTATATATGTTCAGCATATCAGGGTCCATTTCCTTTGAAATTGGTCAAATGGTTTTATTGTTTGACTGATGCAGGAGGTTTTTCTGATGACATTTTTAGAGGGTGTGAGTAGGGGTGATATCTTGCATTCCCTGATTCAAGCAGAATCCAATTTCGGTGGTCGCAAGTTTGGATATTTTCCTGCAACATGCCAGGAAAACCAACCTGCAGGAAGTGCTGAGGGACAGGGAAAACAAAGCCCTTGCAAAGCGTGTCATGAATGTAGCTTGGAATGATGAACGGCTAGCTTTGGGGGTGGAGGTTGTGGCATGGTGCAGGTTTGTTTGGAGTTTGCAGCAGCTCACGATGGGCGCATATCTTTGGAACACTGAGACGGAATCCCATAATGGCAAATATGATGTTGATAATCATTTCAGGAAATCAACATGTTGGTGGTCTCATATGACATTTATAGGGGAAACTGTTTGTGAAAGTCTAATTATTTCTCATGAAAGTCCTGCTTCATGCCTCTGCTCGAGCTGGTCAAAATATTCCAGATAGAGTCACCCCAAAATGTACAAAGATCACGCTCGAGAAACATGGGTCACATGTGATCTTCATTATGTTTGACCTCATCTTCCTTTCATCAGTTTGGTATGGTTTATTATAGTTTGGCTGGCTGCCCAAAACGGACCCTTTTTTCCAGGTGAAGTCCTTCTGCGATCCCAACGGAAAGGATTTGGAGGACTATCGCCGACACCAGCGGATGGTTCAAGTACGCCAGGACCCCTTTGGGCTGAGATCAGGTGAGGGGGGACTGATCCAGAGCTACTTTCTATATTGTCTCTGAGATACAACTATATGTCAGCCACGTTTTGAACTTAGATTTTTGTCTCGGCATAGATATACAGATACCGAAGATCCGTTGGCCCAATGGGAAGAATGATCTACAAATTGTGGATGTCCCATGGTTAGTGTTGTCTACTTGTAAGAAATGGTACAAGCCCTACTTTGATTTTAAAGAACTTTTGGACAAACCTTTCCTTCCTACCCTACAGTGACAAGTGGGATGCTTCGAGCGTTCAAGTTTCAACCAGTTTTGGGGTGGCAAGTCACGGCAATTCATGATGCTTGCAGGAGTTCCATCACTACGGTCGCTTGGATGCACACAGTCAGAGATTGGAAGAAGCATTGGAGGAGAGCTGCAATGACTGGGAAAAGGCACCTGTCATTGTAGAAACATAATATTTTCCATTGCCACAAGCCAGCACACGCCATCACAAGCCCCTAGTTTTCAAGTGTGTCACACATATAACTACATATATATATATATATATAATACTATTTAACTATATATATATATATATATACAGTGTTTCTTGTTTCTTATATATATATATGCGTTTATTGATATTGGTACAACACACTGATATATATATATATATATTTATGTATATACATGTGTGTGCGAGTGCGTATACATACATATATGTATGTCTTTGTGTGTCAACAATAGGCCCACTGTCCTGTCCCAGGTGGTCCATCCCGCGCAGTGCTGCGGCATCGAGCACCGGAGGCCAATGTCCGCCCCTCCCGGCCGCGAGTGACGCAGAGTTACTAGGCCGCAGCCCTGTTGGTTGCTGATGACTTATTTCATATGATGCTATAATGGCGAGTTTGTGGTTTCAAACATTTTGTATGTTCCATAATATATGGGATAATCCTTCCCATTGACTAATATTTTTCAGAGGGGTTGAAACCACCAACCAGTTATTTATTGGAGTTTGAACCGTTATTAGTTACTACTTTTAACAATTATTTCATTTTACTTTTGGTCAGGGAACCATCATAGCCATCATTTTATATGATTTCAGTGGTGATTGAAGCATCATTTATAGGGCTTTGGACATCAATCATCTGGTACAGTAGGTTATATATGTGTAAATTATGACTGGTTGATGCGGCTTACGCGTGGATACATATAATTTCAATGTAGTATCACATGTTTATACAGTGTATATATAAATAAATAAATAATATATATATATATATATTATACGCGCACACACACACATATATATATATATATATACACATGATATCATGGTCATCATCATCATCATCATCCATGAGCAGGGAATATTGTTCGCAACCCGGCAGCAAAATGGAATGACAGAGGGGTTTGACCATTGCTCAAATACCTTTAGAACATTGATAGAAACACCATGAAATAATTATATACCCATGTGTACTGGGTTTTGTTGTTTACGCATGTACTCAATGTTATCCAATATTTGCTAAAGAAAATAACTGAGGCCTGATTTGTATAGAAGGTCCTGCTGCTGCAGTTGCGATCATGTGTTACTGTTCCATAGCTACTGTTTGTTGCTTGTATCTGGTACATTGACTCCTAGCCCCCACACTGATTGGGTCTCTTGCCGGTGTACTTTTTTTTTGGTCTCTCACGCCAAATTCAGGTAAATCCGCCATTCCGTAGGGCATGATTTGCCAAGAGACAGCAGGTCAACCTAGCAGCAGAAAGAGCAACAGAAACAGAAAAACACAGTCAGAAACCTATCCGCCCGCATCGTTCTTTTCTTGTGTCATACAGCTATGATCAACCATGCGTTCCTTAAGATTCCTCCCTGGAAGAAGGACCCATGGCCAACCAATGCCACTGCGACTCAGGCCTGTCAGAGGCCAACTTGCACCATTTAGACTCTCTTCTGTGCCCTTGGGAGTTGCCTAAAAGCCGCCGGGAGGACCGCATGGCATGGCAGGATTGGGTTGGAGTTGGGGTTTTACTTTGGCACGGCTGACAGATGAACATTTCATGTGTATCATCCTAAATTGAATATCTACCTACATGTACACCACAATATGTATACATGTAAAATATATGGTATATTATATTGTTACAAATGTATTTACATTTGTTTATATAAATATATATTTAATCCCTTCCTCCTAATACTAAACGCCCCCCCCTTGTATTACTAAACACGGCAGGTAGTTTTTACTTTATTCGCTGGCTGAAAACCTGAGGCTAGTGCCACCCTTTTTAGCCTCGGAGTGGTGGCTGAAACATATGGGCAAAACCTTAGATTCAGCAATTCATCATCTGCAATGATGGTGGTCTGGTTTGATGTCAAAATCAAGGGCCCTAGGTTTTCAGACACCGGACCTTGTGAACAGAGAAATCTTTGAAGATGTTGGGCCACCAGCTTTTCAGCCCTGTGACCAAACAAACTTGAAAAACACTGGGAATGTTACATCATAGGTTTTTAGCCCCTGTCCTTGAACAAAGGTTAAGAAAAATGATAACTGCATAATCTGCATATGACCACTGTGGATGTTGCATTATAGATATGCGTTCGCATATGTATAATAGTGTATATATATATGTTTTTTTTACTTACTTATTTCTGCAACGGGAAAATGATGATCAAACACAATACTTACTGTCAGACACACCCGGTGTCTGATGGTGTCTGTTTTTCCAGATGGAATGAATGATTATGATGTTTGCACTAAAACATGAAAGAACCTTGGGCCCAGGTATTTACCCCAGAGAATGCCAGAGAACCAAACTACGGAGCAAGCTCAGGGACCCGCAAACCATGCAAAACTGGCTACATCGGTGGACTTCAAGGGGTCCCCCTTTGTGGATGCAAAAATGGTGCAAAAACAACAAATTAAATTACTTTACTTCGTGTGATCCCCACCATGACATTTATACGTTTTGTTACTGGCAAATCTTCTGACATTCTATCTGGCATATTTTCTGGCATTCTATCTGACATATCTTCTGGCATTCGATCTGGCATTCTATCTGGCATATCTTCTGGCATTCTACCTGGCATATCTTCTGGCCGATGTTCTGGCATATCTTCTGGCATTCCATCTGGCATTCTATCTGGCATATCTTCTGGCATATCATCTGGCACATCTTCTGGCATTCTATCTGGCATACCTTCTGGCATTCTATCTCGCATTCTATCTGGTATTCTATCTGGCATATCTTCTGGCATATCTTCTGACATTTTATCTGGCATTCTATCTGGCAAATCTTCTGGCGTTCTATCTGGGAAACATTCTGGCACTTTATCTGGCATACCTTCTGGCATCCTATCTGACATTCTATCTGGCATTCTATCTGACATATCTTCTGGCATTCGATCTGGCATTCTATCTGGCATATCTTCTGGCATTCTACCTGGCATATCTTCTGGCAGATGTTCTGGCATATCTTCTGGCATTCCATCTGGCATTCTATCTGGCATATCTTCTGGCAAATCTTATGACATTTTATCTGGCATATCTTCTCGCATTCTATCTGACACTCTATCTGGCATATCTTTTGGCATTCTATCTGACATTTTATCTGGCATTCTATCTGGCATATCTTCTGGCATATATTCTGACATATCTTCTGGCATTCTATCTGGCATATCATCTGGCAAATCTTATAGCATTTTATCTGGCATATCTTCTCGCATTCTATCTGACATTCTATCTGGCATATCTTCTGGCATTCTATCTGGCTTTTGAGGTCCAGCGGCGCGCACTGAGCTCGGAATGCCCCAGGTTGAGGTCCAGCGGTGCGCGCTGAGCTCGGCAGGTCCCAGGTTGAGGTCCAGCGGTGCGCACTGAGCTAGGAAGGTCCTAGGTTGAGGTCCAGCGTTGCGCACTGAGCTGGGAAGGTCCCAGGTTGAGGTCCAGCAGTGCGCACTGAGCTCCGAAGTTGGCGAAGAGCTTGGCCAAGAGTTGGCAAGGCAACAGTGGACTTGGAAGTGGAGGCAGAGGTGGTAGAAGGGGAGGAGGACGCGGAGGAGGAGGAGGAAGGAGGAGGAGGACGAGGAGGAGGAGGATGAGGAGAACAGCTCTGATAAAATCTAATTACTTTACTTCGTGTGATCCCCACCATGACATTTATACATTTTCTTACTGGCAAATCTTCTGGCATTCTATCTGACATATCTTCTGACATTCTATTTGACATTCTATCTGGCATATCTTCTGGCATATGATTGGCATATCTTCTGGCATATCTTCTGGCATTCTATCTGGCAAATCTTCTGGCATTCTATCTGGCATATCTTCTGGCACTCTATCTGACATATCTTCTGGCATTCTATCTGGCATATATTCTGACATATCTTCTGGCATTCTATCTGACATATCTTCTGGCATATATTCTGACATATCTTCTGGCATATCTTCTGGCATATCTTCTGGCATATCTTCTGACATATCTATCTGGCATATCTTCTGAATATTTTCTGGCATTCTATCTGGCAAATCTTCTGGCATTCTATCTGGGCATATCTTCTGGCATATTATCTGGCATCCTGGCATATCTTCTGGCATATCTTCTGGCATATCTTCTGACATTCTTTCTGACATTTTTCTAACTTTCTTCTGCACATTCTTTGTCCCATATCTTCCTACATGAGGTCCGGCAGGGAACACTTGGCGTGGATACTCGCGGTTGAGGTCCGGCAGGGAACACTGGGCGTGGATGGTCGTGGTTGAGGTCCGGCAGGGAACACTGGGCGAGGATGGTCGTGGTTGAGGTCCGGCAGGGAACACTGGGCGTGGATGGTCGTGGTTGAGGTCCGGCAGGGAACACTGGGCGTGGATGGTCGTGGTTGAGGTCCGGCAGAGAACACTGTGGATCGCGGGTCGCAGTTGAGCAAGGACGACGAGGACGACGAGGACGACGAGGAGGACGAGAAGGAGGAGGAGAGGAGGAGGAGAAGGAGGAGGAGAAGGAGGAGGCAACTGACATAAAATCTAACAACCCTCACCTGGCAGGTGGGGAACAACCCTCACCTGGCAGGTGGGGAACAAGGGGTTTAATAAAGAACAACTGGCCTAAAATTTTGGAATTTTAGTGTTTATTGTTGGCCCGGTTAAACCTGCCACCTCCCCCAGGATCCGCAGGTCAACAGGCATATCGCACAAATCTGGGACCTTGGGACCAGGTATTTAACCCTAGAAGATATAGAAGGGATTGACCCAAAGAACATGTGGATCTGTTTGGTTCTCTTCGGGCACTGTTCTCAGGCCCAAGTTTTTCAACCCTTGCCTTCTCTTCAACTGCTTGTCCCTTTCCATCTGCCTGGGCACGGGGCAGCCGGAAAAACAATCAAAAATTGAGGGCGCCAACAAGATTGCATCATTTCCCAAAAATTAAATTGGCCTTACAAACAACCGGAACTTGACTTCTTTATCTACTGGATCTTCCGTTGATTCCCGCAGATCATTTTTTTTCACGGACAAAAATCCAAACAATTGATTATATTGATTGGTTGAGCCATTTTTTCGTCCGAAAAAATCCAAAACAGTGTTATCAGTGATTGGGACTTTAAAATCAACAAACCTTAAACAATTCAAACCATCTCAGACTTTCGGCTACACCTCGGTCTTTCTATCTGGCATCGCCGGCGCATCGTCCACCTGGAGAGGGCATCTGAGTGCATCTGCAACGGGATCAGAGGAAATGGATGATTATCATGTTTTCACAAGAAATGCATGAACCTTGGGCCCAGGTATTTACCCCGGAGAACCAAACCACGGAGCAAGCTCAGAGACCCGCAAACCATGCAAAATTGGCTACATCGGTGGACTTCAAGGGGCCCCCATTTGTGGATGCAAAAATGGTTCAAAAACAGCAATTTTAAATAAGGGGTTTAATAAAGAACAACTGGCCTAAAGTTTTGGAATTTTAGTGCTTATGGTTGGCCCGGTTAAACCTGCCACCTCCCCCAGGATCCGCAGGTCAACAAGCATCTCACACAAATCTTTGGGACCTTGGGACCAGGTATTTAACCATAGAGGATCTAGAAGGGATTGACCCAAAGACATGTGGATCTGTTTGGCTCTCTTCGGGCACTGTTCTCGGACCCAAGTTTTTCAACCCTTGCCTTCTCTTCAACTGCTTGTCCCTTTCCATCTGCCTGGGCACGGGGCAAAGAGAGGGCGCCAACAAGATCGCGTCATTTCCCAAAAATCAAAGTGATCATACAATCAATCGAAAGTTGGCTTCTTGAATTTAGTTTATTTTTGGGTCTTCCATTGGTTTTCACAGGCAATGGATTATAGTTATACTCATTGGTGGAGCTTCTGATCCACCAGTGTCGCTGCCGCATCGTCCACCTATAGCTTTTTGTCAAGAGCTTGGATCGACCTTTAATGCAGCGTGGTCAAGTTATTTAAACAAGTTGGGCTTGTGAACTTGGGTAAGCATCATATGCTTAAGTAAGCTGTTTTATGTTGAAATGTTGGGACCCAGGTTTTCACCTCTAGGTTAGCGTTAAACTTCAAAGTTGCGATTATGTTAGGCCAAGGTTTTCAGCCCAGCCTTAAAAAGCTTAGGCCCTAGGAATGCATCCACCTAGAGGTAGCTGAATACCTTGGCACTAGGCTAAGGTGCACGCCCACCGGGTATTTAGTATTAGGGTGGTATTTATTATTAGCGAACCCTATTAATAAATTTAAACCCTTAATAAAGACTATTTTTTCCGATCTCAAAATCAATTAAATTCCGTTTAAAAACGCAATGAAAATATTGCCAAAAAATTGATTTCGAAGCTTCCCCCCTAATACTAAATTGAAACCCGTAATGATCAAAACTATTTTTTCCGATCTCAAAATCAATTAAATTTCTTTAAAAAATGCAATGAAAATATTGCCAAAAAATTGATTTCGAAGCTTCCCCCTTATACATTAAAACCCTTAATAATAAAAACTATTTTTTCCGATCTCAAAATTAGATTTCTTTAAAAAACGTAATTAAAATATTGCCAAAAATTTGATTTCAAAGCTTCCCCCTTATACTAAATTAAAACCCCTAATAATAAAAACTATTTTCTCCGATCTCAAAATCAACTTTTTTTTTTTACGTAATGCAATTAAAATATTGCAAAAAAAATGGATTTCGAAGCTTCCCCCCTGACACTACATTAAAACGCTTAATAATAAAAACTATTTTTCCGAATTCAAAATCAATTAAGTTTCTTTTTAAGAAGCAATTAAAATAGTGCCAAAAGTTGGATTTCGAAGCTTTCCCCTAATATTAAATTAAAGCCCTTAATAATAATAATAATAAAAACTAGCTTTTCCGATTTAAACATCAATTAAATTTCCTTTTATAACGCAATTAAAATAGTGCCAAAAATTGGATTTCGAAGCTTCCCCCTTATATGAAATTAAAAGCCCTAATGTAAAAAACTAAAAACAACCGGACGGACCCTAATAATAAACACCCCGGGGTGAACTAGTTTTTAATATTAGGGGGCAAAACCCACAAATGGTAGCTTTATTTTTAAATTGTTTTCTACAGGGGATCGATTAAAGGTCAAATTGGCCAATCTGAAATTTTCTGAAATTGGAGATGGACGCCTGTTTTTAGTATTTGGGGGACGTTTAGTATTGGAGGAAGGGATTATCGTCTATTTATTTATGTTCATTATTATATATATACAGTTGAGAGACAGAGAGAGTTCAGAGTACCATATTTTCATCATAACATTCCCTAGAAATCAAGGGCCCTGGAAATCGCCGCTTTGCGCGTTCCATGTTCAAACAGTGGCCATCCCTGCCTTGCCGGTTGGTGCGGTTGGTCGGTCTTAAAAGACCCAATATGACACACACACACACAATCTGTACATCATTCGTTGGTTTAATCAGCACTTATTATGTTTATGTACACCAGCAGATTTTGCATGTGGTTGGTTTCTAAAGCATCAGATAAACATAGATAAACTTCATTTGCATACATTTACACGCATCATTAAACATACATATGCGCTATTCATACTATACATACTATTTAAATATATAATGTATGTATATGTATATAATGTATGTATATATATAATGTATGTATATATATAATGTATGCATATATATAATGTATATATATACACATATAAAGTGTATGTATATATATATAATGTATACATATATATAAAGTGTATGTATATATATATATATAATGTATATATATATATATATGTACAATATTCACGTGGGTTCGTTAAGCACGTCCCCACTTCACGCGTCCCCGCGCTCGGCGGCACAGGATGTCTTTTTTTGTGTAAACCGCCATAGTAAGCCTCCCATCCCAACCATGGGTTGGGGTCATTTTACATCCCGTCTCTAAGCTTTTATCTATTGGATAATGTATATGTTTTTATTAGATATTGGTTTATCATGGTTTATCCTGGTTCATCCAATAATTTATCCAATAATTTATCCAATATCTAATAATAAACTTCTATTGGATTACTATTGGGCTTACCGGTTCGCCACATTAATTCGATCAAATTCTGAGGGTCCTTTTGTCAGTTGCCGGAAATGATGAACCCTTAAAAAAGTGTGGGACATTATACTGATCGGTTGGTTGATGATTATTCCATCCAAACGTACACCCTAAAAATGTTTGGGTTTACGGATAGGGCTGATGAACCTTTATCAGAGGCCACGGTGCCCACTTTTTTCTCTTTGTTCCACTCTCTAGTCCTGGAAACTGTGCTTAGTTGTCAAATTGTATGTTATATACAGAGATTCTCTAGATATATGCTATAAATTATTATTCGTTTTGGGTGTTAGTATGTATCCACAGCCTGATTTCCGATCTTTCAGCTTCGTAGTTAGGTGGGTTTTGTGGTTGAATTAAAAGTATAGGTACCTTTATTATTGGCATCAATGCCCATGATATTTCATGATATACAGTGAATGTTATCTATTCAGTTCTCATACTACTCAATTTAGTAGTAGAGATTCTCATGATCCATATAGTACAGTTAGACCCCCATTCACAAACCAACATGTTTGGGATTTCCAAGCAGTTTTTGACACAGTTGATTTGGTTTGGAAAACACTTTTGATCGGGAAACACTAGGGATATAGCAAGAAACACAGGGGATAGAAAGACAATAGAGCAGCAATGTGATTCAGGTTTGTGAGAAATGAAGCGCGCCAAAAAAAATGCCATTTGAAAAGGGAGAATGGGAGAAACCAAGCGGTTTTGGAGTGCATGTTCTTTTTGACCAATCCGAGTGCATCTCGGAAAGGTAAAACTTGGGCGAGCACAAATCTATATTGATCTATTCATTTTCCGGCCGATGTAGCTGAGATTCAATGTCGGAGGGGGAGGGAGAAACCCTTCACCAATCTCACCTGGTGATTGCGCCTGTTTGCAGATGCACAGCCGAAGTCTTGAAACCAAGCAGCATTGTTTGTGTCTTTGGCGTGTGCAGCGGTTGGATTTCAATAAAAACCATGTCGAGAGGAGGCCAGCACCGTAGCTCCGGCGAAAGAAGAATTTGCAGAGACTCTGAGACCAGAGGCGCCGCTGGCGGCATGGGACATGACCGAAAAACGGTGGGAAACCATTTCGTTTGGGCCAATGACTGACTTTGTTTTTTGTTTTTGACATGTATTAAAAGTTGCCTGGCGTGCGCACTTGGCTATGGTTGTTTGATGTTGTTTGAGAGTTTGGTTTGTTGCAGTCTTGTTACCTTTTTTTTTGGAAAGTTATCATTCGAAAGGAAATTCAATACCACGGCACTGGGACTGAGATTGTGATATCGAATGCTGTGCTCATGGGAGAGGACGTCTCTCAAAATTTGTTTCAGTTCTGGTTCATATGATCAAGGATGCTTTTGTGCCCCAAACATGTACATACACAGTTCATGTCCAACGTGGACAATAGCAGCAACATGACACATACAGTATTTCCTGCGCATTGGCAACATCCCAAAACCTGAGCCACCAACACGCCTTTCCTGTCAGGTACCTGCGTCAGAGAAGGAACAGATGCTGGGATGCAGTGGCATGGGATCATGACTTGATCCTGAAGATTGCTTCGTTTATTCAGGAATTAGGGGGCCTAGATATAGTGACGCCCTTCAATATCCTTCGATTTGACCGTTAATTAATATTAACATTAATATACTGTAGAACTTACATGAACTTACTGTTTTTACCTGTAGCTGGTACGTTCCATACATATCCAGACATCCAGTTGTGTGTGTGCGCAATGTTTTTCTTGACATCGGCGGCAACATTGTCCACCAATCCGCATTGGCCATAGAAAGGGCCCATGACGTTGCCTGGCCGCGCTGAGGAATGTCACTTCTACAGCCGGCGAGGTTGAGAATATCCAGAGAGAGGTGGCCGCTTTTTACCACTAACTGTAGAAATGAGTTGCAGAAAGCAGAGTTTCAATGATTTTCAAATGTCAAGTAAATCATGGCAAATCCATATGTTTCATTATCGTGACGGGCTGTCCTCTGCATTTCCATAAGAAGTAGTAACAGTGATCGGTGTTTGCTTATGCCCAGCATTAGACAGTGAGAACCCCATTGACATTTTGGACTTGGTTGATTTTGCCCACACGGTCGATTGCAGGATGCTGTGCAGAAAGTCAATCTTTGAGTCACACTAGGAAAGCTAGCAGCGGACCATCGGTATAGATTGTTCTAGAGTTTCGATGTGATATGCGTACAACTCTATTCTTGCATATCAAGATATATCAAATATTGAAGAATGGTGTAGATAATAATGCCGTACATTTTCATGTGCATTTGAAATGATACAAATTTGTTTGTAAACAAAATGAACTAAATATATATCTACGTATATCTACCATAGACCAGAGTCAACCTACGACCTAGTTATAAACGTTTATAAAACAACTTAGACAACTCTGGGGCACCACCTTGTATGCCTACATATCAATATAGTATGGTATACAGTATGCAGAGTATTGTGTACATTGCGGATGGGAATGTCTGCCGGTAGACATATATAGATTTAGCCAGACTCTTGGTCTCAATTTGCCCAGTACTGGATCGATGTTGTAACAAGTGCCGATGACAAGATCTTGTGCCAAATTGTGGTGTGCCTATGGGGAAAGGCCCACATGGGCAGCACCTATGACTTTAACTTACTGATGTATTTTTTGGCACTTCGCATAGGCACACGATATGCTTACCTGTCATATCTTGTGGGTTTACCCATTATACTCCCAAAGATAGATGAAAGTCCTGGCAATTGTATACTTTTCCTGGATTTAGGTTGGCAGACAAATTTTAGGAAGTCGTTGCAGTCGTGGCGTTCAGGTGGTGATTTGTGAGTTTTGAAATTGGTAACACGTTTAATACGCAAAAAATGTGTTTGAGTTGTGTTTTGCTTCAGTTTGGGGCTCAAACATAGACAATCCAACATAGGTCATCCTGACCTGCTGCCCCATGCCTGGTGGTTCCTCTGCCCATGCCTTTGCTTTCTCCCCAGACAGTTTTTGCCTTTAGATATCTTTGGCTATCACGGTTCCTGCGTCTCAAACAGTCTGTGCCCGCTCAAATTTGTCACCGCCTCCTTGTTTGCCAAGCTTGTGTCCCTTTGTCTCCCCTTTGTCTCCCTTGCTCGCCCTTTGTCTCCTTTTCTGTCTCCTTGCTCTTGCCTGCAGCTGCTGCTTGGCTTGGTTTCCTCTTCTGCTCCACCGCTGAAAGCTCTTGAGTTTTACTGTTCTGAAAAGAATGCGAAAGCGTGTGGCTACCAAAGAGTTTGTCAGGAGACTTAGGGGGTCAGTCTCCCAAAATTTGATTTCGGACCTCGTTCGGACCTCGTTCGCACCTCGTTAAAATGCAGCCAGTCAAAGCCCAGCCCGGAGAGGCTTTGGAAAGGCTTTGCAATGGTCTGCTGCTTGGTCTGCTACAACTGCTGTTGTTGCTTGTGCTGCTGCTTCTGGGCAAGGCGCGGTTTTGGGCAGAGAACCAAGAGATTTGTGAAAGGGCTGGGAGCTGCGCGGAAGAAACCAGAAGCATAAGAAGATTACCTGAAAAAAGAAAGTCGATCCGATCAGCGGTGTGCCATGGGGAAGTGGATGAAAGGGTTGATTGGCATGAAGTAGAACTTATCATAGAAACCATAGGAATGTAACGTCGATCGCATCCAAGTTTGTACGTTGGAAATGCCATGAAACTTGGTGTGCCGTGCGGAGGATGATAGTTCTGACTGTTCAAACAGGCATATGGGTGTCAACTTTTAGTTAACAAGCGTGCTTTAAACGCATAGAAAATAGATATATTTTATATAGTTGCCTGCTTCAGAATTAGTCCACTTTGACCGTCGGTGTGCCAATAGGATTTCCACCTGGCGGAAGATTTTTGATGTCTGGCGTAAGCGGTGTGCCATGCGGCTGGCGCAAGTTCTAGTAAATGGCGTAGGATCACGCCGGGGCTCGTAGTTGGAATATATGCTAATGTTATTTCATGTTTTGGGTATGTTGCCCATTTTTTGATGGCTCTTGAACCTCGAATTTATCCCCACCTGCCAGGTGAGGGTTGTTAGATTTTATGTCAGTTGCCTCCTCGTCCTCCTCCTTCTCCTCCTTCTCCTCCTCCTCCGCCTCCTCCTGCCTCGTCCTCCTCTCCTCCTCCTCCTCGTCCTCCTCGTCGTCCTCGTCGTCCTCGTCGTCCTTGCTCAACTGCGACTCGCGATCCACAGTGTTCGCTGCCGGACCTCAACCACGACCATCCACGCCCAGTGTTCCCTGCCGGACCTCAACCACGACCATCCACGCCCAATGTTCCCTGCCGGACCTCAACCACGACCATCCTCGCCCAGTGTTCCCTGCCGGACCTCAACCACGACCATCCACGCCCAGTGTTCCCTGCCGGACCTCAACCGCGAGTATCCACGCCAAGTGTTCCCTGCCGGACATCATGTAGGAAGATATGGGACAAAGAATGTGCAGAAGAAAGTTAGAAAGAATGTCAGAAAGAATGTCAGAAGATATGCCAGAAGATATGCCAGATAGAATGCCAAATAGAATGCCAGATAGAATGCCAGAAGATATGTCAGAATATATGCCAGAAGATATGCCAGATAGAATGCAAGATAATATGCCAGAAGATATGCCAGATAGAATGCCAGATAGAATGCCAGAAGATTTGCCAGATAGAATGCCAGAAAATATGCCAGAAGATATGCCAGATAGATATGTCAGAAGATATGCCAGAAGATATGCCAGAAGATATGTCAGAATATATGCCAGAAGATATGCCAGATAGAATGCCAGAAGATATGTTAGATAGAATGCCAGAAGATATGCCAGATAGAATGCATCAGATTTGCCAGATAGAATGCCAGAAGATATGCCAGAAGATATGTCAGATAGAATGCCAGAAGATATGCCAGATAGAATGCCAGAAGATTTGCCAGATAGAATGCCAGAAGATAGAATGCCAGAAGATATGCTAGATAGAATGCCAAATAGAATGTCAGAAGATATGTCAGATAGAATGCCAGAAGATTTGCCAGTAAGAAAATGTATAAATGTCATGGTGGGGATCACACGAAGTAAAGTAATTTAGAGTGCTGAGACTTTTTTAACATGGCTGAGAGAAGGCAGATAGATACGATAGATACCCTCCGGTAATCTTATACAGCTATGGAAAATCACCTTTCTCAATCGGTAAATCATCTATATAGATCGACCATTTTCCATAGCTATGTTGAATTAGTAGAGGCTAGGTGAGCTTTATGAGTTCTTTACATATCCCAGCATATCTCCATCATTGTCTCACCATTTTTAACGGGACTCTGAGGCTTTAGCATTGTTTGGCTAGGCGATTCCTGCTTCAGAGCCGGGGCCATCCATGACGGCAGCGCTGCCTGGCGCCGAGTGGGGTGCACTACCATAGATATGGAAGTTTAAGCAGCAGAAATGCTGGTTAGACCATCACAAAAGAGGTGGGTTTACCTACAGGGATTTCAGCTCACCCCCCTGGCACCATGGTTTCCTGCATTTGGTTCCCTCAAATCAGCCCATTACCTGAAAGATCTCAGGGTGATCATGGACAAAGATTTGCCCAGGTCCAGCAACGCAAACGACACATCGATGAATGCAGCAACTTGGTCGTATGTTCATTCATTCCCGGCAGTGATACCTTGTGAATTCTCAGTGATAGGAAATATTCGGATTCACAAGACCATATCAGCCATATCAGAAAGAGAGGGTCAAATGTTCCAGTAGGAGTAAATTGGTTGGGGGTGCCCCCCAAAATGTTTAGGTGCTTCCAACAATCGTGTTCTACCCCAGCCCCCAGCCAAGGGTCTATTAATGTTGGATCAATGGCATGCCGACTTCTTTTGTAGCAATCAGCGGGTCTCCTCTACTGGGCCTATGACCCAAGACTAGGATAGACTAGGAGGATCATCCAGCATCAATTAAGGGGTGCTGCATGTTTTTTTCCGCTAGGTTATCGGGTTATGTCCAATTTATGAACATAGAGCATCCGCCCCAAAAAAATACAGCGTTATAGATCCATACCAGATCCATGCTATGCAGTTGCTAGGTGGCATGATCTGCCTTTTTTGTTTTGGTGAATCCCGCTTCGATTCAGGGTTCTGACACTTCTCTCATCAAGGCAGTGCCCAGCAGTGCAGCAAATGCAGGTGGGAAGACTACCGCTGTGGCGGTGAATGACATAGGATTGATCCCTCCAATAGGAACCCTCCACAACGGAAAATTGTCCTCAACGTTTGTCGACATTACCCGTTCTGTCTTTGAATTCCTCCCTTCTTATAGTTTAAGCCTCCATGTTTGCTGGGTACGCCGTCCTGGTTGTTAGGACGTATGACTTCCCGTGGTTCTTGCAGCTGGAAACCCAGCCAGACCTTCGTGGCTTATGGTTGCGGTCCATTCAATGTAGTGCCTCCATGCCCATATTCAGAAACCCCAAAATGTATTGTCACTTTATTTGCGACAGTACATCAGTTCTCCAAGGTACCTGGATTGATTATACGCTTCATACGATCCCCCAACTGGATCCAAAAAGATAAAACCACTGCTGTGCCTTCAATCACGCAGCTTTCAATGGCCAATGCGGGTACCCCACAGTAGCCCCTTGGCAGGCTTCACCAGTGCCGAGTCGCAGGATGCGCAGCCACTGGCCTAAGCTCACGCACCAGATATTCTGATGGCGAAATACCATCCCTCCAACTGTTAAACTTTGATCCCAAAATAGGCAATTCTCAGTCTACATTAGTTGGTGGATGGTAGACTGATTCGGGTTTGGAGAAATGTTATGTTGAAGTTTGGGCGTTACAGAGGGAATTGAGACCCATGGGCCAGAAGATGTTCGTCATGTTTCGGATGTCATCATCCATCTTTGACTGCTGTAGAAAGATCCTTTACCAAATGCTACAAGCATTGGGACTCATGACTCAAGAAAGAATAAAGATATATCCAGATTGGGATTTTGAAACATCGAGTTTTTTTGCAGATGTATACTCTCTTTAAACTAGGCCAAACAAGCATTGAAAACTGCCGCAAACAAGCAGCAAACATGGGCTTAGGAAGAATCCAACCGCATCCAACAGCAACACCAGTTTGCACTTCCAAGCCCAGAAGGACACTGAAACACCAAGTGTTAAAGGCGAAGCTAGGCAAAATAGCACCCTTTTTATTGGCAATTTTCTCAGATCGGCAAAATATGAAGTTGGTGAAACTGGGGGGTTGCTTTCTTTCTCACTCGAACATGATCTCCAAATGGTGGGTGAATAACATATATTAATTTATCGTAGGGTACAAGAATATCAGATTATCATCAGTATGACACCTGGACCTGCAATATCAAAAGTCACAGGAGGCATCTAACCTTTGGGCTTATGACATTTGAGTTGGCTCAGACTGTTGCTGGTCTTGCGCACTTTGTGAACAATTCATGTGTGAAAATCCGGTTCGTCGAAACAAGGCTCCAGTTCCTTATACTAGACTTTCAACATTCCAATCTACCCAGGCCAGCGGCGACCAACAACAGACATGCGGATCCTTTTGGAGACATGGGCATGTTCGACAAGCCGCCAGAGTTCAAGACCAAGAGAAGGAGATCGGAAACTTCACGGCTTGGAGTTTTTGGCGGGTTAACGTAGCATTGTTTCGTTTTTCCATTTCCCAGGGGATGTCAAGAGATAAGGGAAAAATACCAGGTGCCAGGTGCCATAATTCATATGCGATATGTGTAGATGAAGACGCATCCGCCCCGGTGATTTTGATCCACATTGAGCCGTGCAAAGGTCATACTCCTGCGATAGTCCACGATGGATGTTTCAATGTCAGCTCCCGGCATCACCCCGTTGGCCGTATGCTTGGTACATGTTGGTATCATTTTAATAGCAGGTTGTCATTATTTAGAGGGGTTACCTACTATCTGGCTGGCGGTTTGGAACATTTTTTATTTTTCCATAGATTGGGAATAATCATCCCAACTGACTAATATTTTTCAGAGGGGTTGAAGGAACCAACCAGCTATTAATCAGATCAACCAGGCTAAATCTTCATCCGCGCTTGACATTGCTTGCCGATACCCCGATGGGAAACTGGTTGATATTGACATTGACATTGATGGAACTTGGCAAGGGCAAGAGGGATCCCCACCGGAGGCCGCTTAGGGCCGAGTTTTCATAGCTATCTCAGAAACCTCATTGTCCCACGGATTTCTCGCCTGACGTATCCAGGTTTCAGATGGTTTCAGCGTTTTATTTTTCCGGGTAATATAAATGCACAGGGCGGGGGTATGGGGGTCAAGACCTGACACGACCCATGTTAAATGATGACATGTGAATCTTCCTGGTATGATCCCAACAGCAACAGTATACCGGAGTTATCAACTTCTTGTTTGTTTACTGGATGAGAACCGCTGAGGACCGATATTAATCTTTCAGGAACAAGTGACCAATTTCAGGGACAATTCCAGTTGGTAAATTGTCTTGACACTGAGAGGAGGGAAAGGCCGGCGGACGCGTGACTGCTGATTCGTGCCTTGCAGCAGCTGGATGTTTGGATCCAATTTTAGGTAACATCGAAGCTGAAAAGAGACATTTCCACCAGGAAAACAAACTTCTAAATCGATGGTTGTCTTGTAAATTCTTGGAGCATCTTGGAGCCTTATGTTTTGAGGAGATGGGTACAGATGTATTGTGGATATATCAAACTCATACTGGGTTGCAATAGCCCCTATTCACCGAAGGCGTGAAGCATCACATGATATAGATTGGCCGTGTATGACCACCAACCAACAACAATTGGCGCATTGTGATATGAACATTCATGAACATATATGAACTAGAAAACAATGCTCAATGCTGTTGAGATTGTATGTATATATATATATTTACACTTATACCTACTTAAAGTTAAATCATAATGTGTTCTTGAATATGTTGCCTTTTCAGTACATTTAAACAAATAGGCCCAACAAAACCCGTGATGCCCATGATTTTTCCCAGGTCGGCGGCAACTCGTGTGGTTGACTTTTCCGCAGCTGCAGGTTACGTCGTAGAGATTGGAGAAAAGATACCTGACACCATTGGGATTAGATATATTATATCATGATTTAAAGCACACAAATTAGCTTTCGATGATACAATTGGCATGAAGCATTGGGATTCAGCAGCGAGAGCGGCTTTGTTTGCATAGTAGTGGCACAATGCAATTTGCAGCCCAATGATGAAGCAGCCAATGGAATCGATGCCCAACATCACATGTGCAGCAATTCTGTTGAATAAAATCGGCCCGCGGAAGGGCCCCATGTAATTTGTGCATCATTTTTTGGTAGGTGTTCTTCGTTGTGTCACTTGTCCTTCCACGCTTTAAGCGTGCGGAGAACAATGGCCCCCTTGAAGGGGAAAAAGATTGAGTCGGCCACAGTTTGGAAACATTGCGTGCCAGAAGTTTTGGGAGCTGCCAGTGGGTGGCAAGAGGACCTGGAAAGTCAACACGCCTAACTCCACCTGTGGATGCGTGTGATGCTCCTGACAAATCCGCAAAGTGGACCGTTTATTGTTTCTCTTGTGTGTGTGTCCGTCAATCCAACAGAGTTCATATGCTATCTAGTCAGTTGTGATGGAAACATGCCATGTTCTTTTCAGACTCACTTTTGGGATATCCTGGGCTTGTGTTGCTGCTCACGAAAAGGCTTTTATAGTCTTTGGGGACTCTCGCTGAAGCCATTGCTGCTTAGGCAAAAGTTCCTTTTTGAAGCCTCTCACTTTACTCTGGGGAAGATTGCAATTCATGTATTATAACATATATATATATTTATTACTATATCGGTACGATTACTAAATTTATGTGTATATATAAAATTATATCGTTTTATGTATACATTCAAGAGTAGAATTCAGCCATTTGACATCAAAACACCCATGTCTGAGCTATCATACATGGGCTAGCGGCTAGTTGCACCTTCACCATGTTCCTTCCCTGAAAACAAACAGGTGGATTCCATGATTCCATGTACTTTGTTGGATATCCAGGTCAGATCCTGTTTGGTAATCAAACGTGGCAATTGAACACCCCCAATGTATAGACAGATAGATCGATAGATAGATCGATAGATAAATGGATCGATAGATAGCTAGCTAGCTAGCTAGCTAGCTAGATAGATAGATAGATAGAGAGAGAGACATAGATAGATTAGATTAGATTAGATTAGATTAAAATTAGATAGATACATACATAGATTAGATAGATAAGATAGATTAGACAGATTTGACAGATTTGACAGATTTGACAGATTAGACAGATTAGATCGATTAGATCGATGAGATCGATTAGATCGATTAGATAGATTAGAGAGAGAGATAGATAGATACATAGATAGATAGATAGACAGACAGAAAGATAGATGGGTATATAGATTAGGTCGATTAGATCCATTAGATCGATTAGATAGATTAGATCAGATTAGATAGATAAGATAGATAAATAGATGGATAGATAGATAGGTAGATACATACATAGATACATAGATAGATATATAGTTAGACAGATAGATAGACAGAAAGAAAGAAAGATAGATAGATTAGATAGATAGATAGATAGATAGATAGATAGATAGACAGATTAGACAGATTAGACAGATTAGATCGATTAGATCGATTAGACAGATTAGACAGATTAGATCGATTAGATCGATTAGATCAATTAGATCGATTAGATCCATTAGATCGATTAGATCGATTAGATCGATTAGGTAGATTAGAGAGAGAGAGAGATAGGTAGATAGATAGATAGATAGAGAGAGAGAGACATAGATAGATTAGATTAGATTAGATTACATTAGATTAGATTAGGTTACATTAGATTAGATTAGATTAGATTAAGATAGATAGATAGCTAGCTAGATAGATAGATAGATAGATACATATGTTTTTCCATTAAAAGCTCCATTTTTTTAGGGGGCCACATCTTTTGGTGTAAACCAGGCGGCCATGACGATACTTCCGTCCATCATGAGTACCGCCACGCTGGCACAAGGTTCGGAGCTGGGGGGCCAGGGATGCCTATGCTGATTGCTCGGATGCACATCCCAGTTGGCAAGTGGTTTATGAATGTTAACAACATTTATATAATAACCCATGTATGAGTGGGGATATTCCACATATAACTGGTAGCAGCTTCGTGAAAGCTGGTTGAGCAGTTGAACCTTTTTTTTTAGTTCGGTTCATTATTATTGCAATATATTGCAATGAATTTTGGCAAATTTGAAGGGTTTTTCCCCTTTTTCATTGCTCGCGAGAACCATGGCTTGCGGTGAAGCTTGCGGCTAGGATTGTTCCTTGCCCTCCAACGAAACATGGCACTGGTACATCCGACATACCCTCTGGTAATTTAACATAGCTATTGAAAATGGCCCATAGAAATAGTTGATTTCCCTATTAAAGATTGTGATTTTCCATAGTCCATAGTTATGTTAGTTTACCAGAGGGTAGGACATAGACTGGTTGGTGGTTTGGAACATTTTTTTTTCCATGTATTGGGAAGAATAATCCCAACTGACTAATAATTTTCCAGAGGGGTAGGTATACCACCAACCCATAGAAATAGTTGATTTACCTACTGGCAATATTGGTTTGATGGTGATTTTCCATAGTTTTTTGTATGTTTACCAGTGGGTAGATGACTTCCATCTATATGTCCAATCTCTCATCACCGGCATCGCCAGGGCATGTCTACCACACCACCTCGATGCCGCCGCGAAGCAGAACGCTCTCCCCGCCCGGGGCGCCAGGGGGTCGTTGAAAAAGCGTTCAACAACCAGTGATGATGATTATTATTATTGTTATGATCATGATGTTTGTTGTGTTTTGTTATTTCTATTATATAATATTATCTTATCTTATCCATTCTTATTTTTTAAGATATATATATAATAATATATATATATTTGTTTTTTAGCACATAGTTAGTAGATTTATTTTGTTGTATACATATATGCCTAGGACCTCCAAAAGGACATAACTTCAGCCTGAAGAAGAATAACAAACTTTTAGGATCTCAGGCTGAAATTTCGGTCTGAGGGTGTTCTCAGGCTATTTTCCGATTTTCAGGCTGATTTTCTTGGAATCTCAAACTATTTTGGTAAGAAATCAGGCTCAAACCAAGAAAGAACTCAAGAACTACTTGGTCATCCCGATGCTTACCGTATCCTGTTCTCGTCCGGTAGAATTAGATCCAACAATAAGCTGAATAATTAAGAATCCAAAAAATTGCCAGTCTGTGGCACGCTTGACGTGTATTGGTGGTAAAAGACATATTTTGCAAGCTTTGCACAGGTTCATGACGCATCTTATTTCCACTATATTGGTTTAGGACCCTGGGGATTTCAAGCTTGATTTGGAATTGCAAACCTGAATTTATGAACAAATCAGGCTGAATTTTGTCAACGACCAAACATTTTCATGAACATCTCGGGCAAAAAATACAGTAATCGGGCAAAAAATCACACTATTGGGCAAAGACTGCCGAAACTAACAATTTTCAGTTTTTTCATGTTTTTTTCTTGCAGTTCAAATCCTGAATTTTCATGTTTTTTTGGATTTCAGACCATACTTGAATTATATATACCTGTCACCATGTCACAGAATCA